CTTCAATGGATAGAATTTCAAATTTATCAAAGAAGAGTAAACAAATCATCTCTATAACAAAGGAATTTCCTATTCCCCTGATCAAGAAAAAAATACACGTAATTGCACGATTACTCACGCTGCGCGCTCGGGATTGTAATCTGCAAAACTGATCCCTCTCGTGGCTATGCAAGAAAACATTGGGAAAATATCCGATAATTTCAAAGGTCTTGGGGTATTATAGCTGAGAATTTTCCAGGAGTGGATTTTAGCCAATCACAGCGGAGTATTCGAGGTTGTTCGAAATTGTTCGAGGTTTTTTTTTAAGTGAGTTTTTTTTTTAGTCTGCAAAACTGATCCCCCTGGTGGCTATCCAAGAAAACATTCGGGAAATATCCGATAATTTTGAAGGTCTTGGGGTATTATAGCTGAGAATTTTCCGGGAGTGGATTTTAGCCAATCACAGCGCAGTATTCGAGGTAGACGATACTCTTTTGTTATCAAGTTTTTTCGGAAATTGCACACTAGTTTCTGGAAATTGCATCTGATAATTGCATAGTAGCTCTTCATTTATTTCTAACCAATTGGATGTTTTGCTGGAAGAAGCCCCCGAATACTGCACTCCGCTTGGCCAAAATCCAGTCCCGGAAAATTCTCCGCCGAATACCCCTCGAACTTCAAAATTAATCGCAATATTTCCCTCAAGCTTCCCTGCAAACAAACAAAAGTGTCAAGTTTTGCAGAAAAATCCCCCGTGTTGCGCACTCAGGATTTTTAGCCTGCAAAATGTGACACTTTCATTTGTTTGTAACGAAGCCAGGGATCCCCATCAATATTAAATTTCTGTAATATTACACGGATTTGACCCTTACATTATTGAAGGTTTATAGTCTGTTGATTCAATTCTTCAAATAATATAATATTAATAATCTAATTTTTACGAATAATGAATTATTTAAAATTTGTTAATATAAAACTGTAAATTTACTACTAAGTGAATAATTCAAATTTTTTGAAAGGGGATTTTCGATTACACAAGTAATCGTCAATTTTCCTACTTCAAATTATTGATTGATAAAATAGTTAAAAATTTGAATATTTGAATTGATCATACTTAATTACATTTACAATTACAAATTTGGGTATCCCTGGAGGGTATGTCCAATTCGGGAACCGGGTAATGCTAGCCAATATGTTCACGCTAATGGTGATAGGGTTATCACCATAGGATGTTCTTACTCCTCCACCATCCTTCTAATGGCAGTTATTTAATTTATTATTTGAAAATATAGGAAATCATAAAAACTCATGTTTTTTATGAAAAAATTCTTTGTTTGCTAACAGCGCATATATAGCGTGGGCGGGCAAACATCAAAGTCTGCCAGCACTCATTGTTAGCGTTACCCAGGGTTCGCGACGTGGACGCAGCTGGTCCGCACAAACGTGTCAAGTTTAGCAGAAAAATCCCTCGTACTGCGCACTTGGGATTTTTAGCCTGCAAAACGTGACACTTTCATTTGCTTGCAACGAAGCCAGGGATCCCCATCAATATTACATTTTTGTAATATTACACGGATTTGACCCTTACACTATTGAAAGTTTAAAATATGTTTATTCAATTTTTCAAATAATATAATATTAATAGGGGGAACGGTCCGGAACACGGTCCAGTGTGGTTGCGCTTTGCCTCGTGCTGCTAGTTTTTACTTGTTTGTATTTGACTCCGTTTATTTTAATTGTGGGCGATGGTTGCGTCATGACCCGTAGGCATTGTCGCCCCTGGACAAACCAACGATTGACCTGAGTATAACATTCTTTTTTTATATTGATCATTTTTTCTCTGACCTTTGTTGATTTTAGGTTAGTCCATTTTCTACCCATTCCCCCTTTCCCTCCCAAATGGAGTCAGGTCTCGGCCGGTCCGAATTGCTGGCATGATTGTGAAGGGTGCAGGTGGCGACATCTCCCTGCCCTCCTCCAAGGTATTGAGATCCCCTGTCTTATCGGCCACCAGATCGAGTTCGCCTTTACCGACTGTTCAGTCAAAAAAAGCGCGGGGCGCCAATCAAAGCAGACCGTTTAGGTCAGATCAATGACGGCACCCCTTCAATCACCCTCCATCTCACGCAGGATCCTCCGTCAAGCAGAAAACGTAGAGTAGCTGATGAATCTGAATCTCCCAGTGAGCTAACTGACCGGAAGAAACAGAGAAACAATTCCTCTACACCTCCACTAACCGGGGAAGAGGATTACCTGAGTGGCTCTGACTCGGAATCACACATCACCAGTCTTGAAGAGACTTTGATCGCTGACCAGTCCTCCCCTCCAGGGATGCCCACCTCACTGCAAGACCTTCAGTTGGACGATTCTCCATCCAACCGTGTTCTTATGCTGCTGGTCAACAAAATTGACAATCTGACAGCAGAGACGGCGAGTGACCACAGGGAATTGAGAGCACGACGCCAGGAAATTTCTGGTAAGGTGAACTCCCTGGATACGGAGGTTTCGAGTCTGAAATCCACCCAGAATGAATTTCAAGCCAGATTCTCCAGCCTGAAGGACTCAGACTCTACCCACACCAATGCAGCCACGGAAGAACGTCTGAAATGGGTCGAGGATGATCTTCAGGTGATTGTGCCTAGCGCACAAGCCCCCGACTTCCTCAAGACCATACTCTCCAAGCTGGAAGCCCATGAGAAGGAGCTCAAATTGTGCCACGTCATCATCAGGGGACTGACTCTCCCCAGGCAGAACTTGACGACCAATGTAGCTGATTTCCTGCGCACCAACTACCCAACTTTCACTAGCAAGATCTTGGAAACGAAATATCTCAAGGAGGCGATGATTCGAGTCAAGCTGGATACCATTGAATCCAAGAAGAAGCTCTTTGCGCTGAAGAATGCTTCACCTCTGCCCAACATCTATTTCCAGAACGATCTGACCTCCGCCGAGCAGCTGGCTGACTACAAGCTGAGGCAGTTTGCGAAGGAGCAGAGAAATGATGGCCGAGTGGTAAAAATTTCCCACCAGACTGCTTTTGTTGGAGACCAACAGTATTGCTGGAACGCTTCCTCGGGGACTGTTGAACTCGTCAAGCCTCGCCCTCGCAAATCCCACCCTCCCCTCTCCACCACTAACGCAAATCCTTCGCTCCCTCGTGCCTCAAAAAACTAATTTCGCTGAGATTGACCTTCTGGAACTACTAGTAGTAGTAGTAGTAGTCTACTACTACTAGTAGAGTAGTACTAGTACTACTGTACTACTACAGAACATTCATGGCATCAAAAACCTCTACCAATACTTCCCCCACTCCCTTCCCGATATCCTCGGATTACCGGAGACTTGGCTGCTTAATCCCTTGCCCTCCTGTTCAGGTCTTTTTCATGAGTTCAACTTCATCTCTGTGGATGGCACCAAAGAGGATCCAAGTGCTCCCGATCATGCAAGTGGTGGTCTAGCTATTGGTTTCCACAACAGTCTCTATCCTGAGGTACTGTCCACCTGCTAGTATTGGATCTTCGCCAAATTCCCCAACATTCTCCCTCCAGATCTCTCAAGGAACCTCTATGTTGGACTAATTTATATCAAGCCAGCCCATGAACTGACTGATTTGGGAATGGTCCTTGCAGCACTACAGCAGGTCTTGGAGGAGGTCGAGTTCACCAGGACGGGTGAGCCGCTCATTCTCGGTGGAGACTTCAATACTTGGATTGGTCTCGACGGATGCTATCCTGACGAGCTGCTCGAGGGCTCCGTGTTATTATCCGAAAGGTCTCTTATTATGCCCCGAAAAGTGGAGCATAATTTCCCAATCATTCTGAAATATGGGCGAACGCAATTAGCACATATTTCAGAATCAAAACATAGAATTAAGAAATTATAAATTCATTGAGAATATACGTGCATTGTAAGACACGTATATTCGAAATGAAAAAGTAAGCCAGTGGAACATGCATCAGCATTTCCACTGGGCTCATTCGCATGGTGTTATCATGACACCATGCAGATATGAGGTGAAGGCCAAGACGTCATGGCCTCTCGATAAAATAAATACTCGAGAGACCATTATCTCGTGGCCAGTAACTTGACGACAGTCTTTATCACTGTTCACCTGATACCCTCAGTATCAGACTGAACACATTCAATTGTACTTCACCAAATTAAGGTTGAAATAAAGAGTATTATTTAGTATTGGTTCGCGAGTGCTACTTCCTGCAAAATACCCGAACCCTACCCGCTCGGGACTACAACACTCTCACTTCCGAAGCAGAAAATGCCCGTGGTTCTGCCATCAGTCTTTTCATGCAGGATAACGGCCTTATTGTCCTGATTGGCAGGACCCCTGGAGATACTCCAGCTCAGATCACCTACGTTGGCCCCAGGGGGAGAAGCACCATAGACTTCGTATTCTCAGACCTCTGCAACATCCACCTAATCCATGACTTCTCCTTAGACCACTCAGTCCTTCCCTCGGACCATTTCTCTACCTCCATAGACCTTCTTGGCCCCTCCACTCCCCCTCCAAACCCCCAGAAACCCCTAAATAGACCTCGGCTTCTTTGGAACCGAAACCGAATAGACGATTACCTCTTAGAATTCTTTAATGCCTAAAGGAGGTTAGGCGGTGTTTGAGGTGAATTTGAGAGTGAATTTCTGTGGTTCCCGGTAGCTTAGTCGGTAAGAGTGCCCGGCGCGTATCTGGGAGACCCGGGTTCGATTCCCGGCTGGGTGAAGCGGAAATTTTTTCTCTCTAAATTCTAATTCTCTTAGAATTCTTTAATGCCTAAAGGAGGTTAGGCGGTGTTTGAGGTGAATTTGAGAGTGAATTTCTGTGGTTCCCGGTAGCTTAGTCGGTAAGAGTGCCCGGCGCGTATCTGGGAGACCCGGGTTCGATTCCCGGCTGGGTGAAGCGGAAATTTTTTCTCTCTAAATTCTAATTCTCTTAGAATTTTTTTTTTTTCTTCCACCTGTCCAACTCCCCCTCCCTACTGCTCAACCCCGAGGCCGATATTAACCGCCGGATGGAAACCCTCCACAAGACGATTTATGAAGCTGCAAAAGCATCAGGTATGCTCATTTCTCCGAGAAACACTTCCACCTTCCATCCAAAACAACCGTGGTTCGATCAGGAATGCTTAGGTGCGAAGAAATTAGCAGAATCCTCACTTCGTACCTGCCGGAATGCCCAGTTTTTACCTCCAGCTGTTGACTCCTACCGCAGTGTCAAGAAAACATACTTTGACCTCATTGACGACAAGAGGCAGGCGTATTTCAACGACATCAGAGAGAGGATCGCCAATACTAAAGCACAGTCCGACTTCTGGAGAGCATTCCGGTCCTGTACAGTTCGATCTCCATGCCCAGAGCTCGATGTAGAGGTCTGGTAATCCTTCTACGCTGTCGTCTATCCTTCGAGGGTTGTTCACTTGGGTGATTACAGTGGCTCTGCTGAACAGCGTCTTGATGGTCCAATTTCACTGGGTGAGATTGAGTCGGTCCTGGTAGCTGCGAAGTGCGGAAAGGCTGCGGGCTCTGACAGCATCCCTGCAGAATTTTACAAAGCCCTCCCGCCTGCCGGTATACTGTATCTCCTCAACCTCTTCCACAAGATCCTTTCCGAGGGCGTGGTTCCAGATTCTTGGCATGAAATTATCCTGACCATGATCTTCAAGAAGAGTGACAAGACCAAGCCAGAGAAATACAGAGGGATCGCGCTGGTCAACGTCGTCGCAAAAATCTTCACCAAGATCCTCTGCTCCAGGCTCGACAAATGGGCGGAGGAGACGAACATCTTCCCGGAAGCTCAAGCTGGATTCCGCAAAGATGCTCTACGCTAGATAACATCTTTGTAGCGATGGCGACCATCCAACTTCAGCTGAGACTCGGTGGCCGCAAAGTTTTCGGTCTTTTTGTTGACCTGAAACGCGCATTTGACTCGGTAAGCCATCCTCTCCTGTGGCAGAAACTCTATCAACTGGGAGTCAGCACCAAGATTATCAACATTCTCAGTCATGAACAGTATAGTACTAATTTTCAGGCGAGAGACATTTACTTCCGATTGAGAGGAAAAAGTCGTGAAATTCCAAATTTTACTGTAAATTTAATGAAATTCAACACTTTTCACCAGCATGTGAAGCGCAGAACTTTTCAAGTTACTTGAATTCTCATTTAAACGATGAATATTCTGTACCAAATCACTCTGTATTTTCGATTGATAAACAAATTATAATTGCTCAAATCATTTAGGCCACAGGAAAATAGAATGATTCAACTTCCTCAATGGTGCGTTTGCTGGGGTTTCGTTCAAAGTTAATTGGAATCAATAGTTAGAATTATGAGAGATTCTGACATTTTTGACATTAAGTATAGAAGAATCTGAATGCAACATACTGAAAATGATAATCGATTGTTTCACTTTGAACAAATAGTAACAGTATTTAAATTAAAAATTTCTGATATGATTAAACAAAAAAAACTTTCACTCAATATTCCATAACAGCAAATAAGAAAAATGATGATAATTATGTAATATTATCTGAATCATTAATGTGAATTTCAGACTCTCAAAAAAAGATAGAGCAGAAGTCAAACAATCATTTAAAATTTTAATTTTTAATTTGGTGCTGAAAACATTAGATGATGATATTTCAAGCGTCGAATTATATTGATGATATGAATAACAGATTAGTTGAATTAACGAGTGAACTAATTATGAAAATTTATAAGAGTGTTCACTAGAAATCTACTCTCTGGCTTACGTTCGAGAAGAAAGCGCATTATAATTGTGATCGAACTTTTATTCAGTAAGTATAGCAATTAGCACATGAACAAGTCATTTATTGCAATATGAAAAATTAACAAAATTTGAAGCTAATAAATTGGGAGAGATTATTGTCATCAGTTGCGTTGCTTTTTNCATCCGTTGCGTTGCTTTTTACAATTAGAATGATTATGAACAATGAATTGAAAAAAGGAATATTAAAACTGACAGGAAAAAGGGCAGAATGAAAGGGACATCAACAACCCGGCCGCTTGCGGCCGGGGTGGCGCTAGTTACTTAAAAATGCTTATTGTTCACTGTTTGTTATTTCTATACGAATACGAATATAATATTAATAATCTGATTTTTACAAATAATGAATTATTCAAAATTTGTTAATATGAAACTGTAAATTTACTACTAAATGAATAATTCAAATTTCTTGAAAGGGGATTTTCGATTACACAAGTAATCGGCAATCTTCCTACTTCAAATTATTGATTGGTAAAATAGTTAAAAAATTGAATATTTCAATTGATGAGACTTAATTACTCAAAAAATTTCAAGGTTGATGTTATCTATTTGAGGGCTCCAAAAGTAATCGTAATAAAATATTACAAATTTGGCTGTCCCTGAACGAAGCAATCGAGAAATATTCCGATAATTTTGAAGGTCTCGGTGTATTATAACTGATTATTTTTGTATTCAATAACATGAAGTACTTCCCAAATAAAATTAAAGCGGTTATTTCCCCCTAGCTTTTTTGATAATTTCCCTCTAGCCCTGCAATTTTTTCTGTATCCAAATAACTGTCAAATATTATCCTGTGGAGTGAAAGAAAGTCAAAATGAGTCAGTTTAAAAAGGATTCGATTACCAAAAATAATTCGTCGAATACCACTCGACCTCCAAAATTAATCGAACATTTCCCTCATGTTTTCCTGCGTATCAACGATCGGGATAAGTTAGGTACAAAAATCCCTCGCGCTGCGCGCTCGAGATTTTAATCTGCAAAACTACTCCCTCTCGTTGCTACACAACAAAACAATCGGGAAATAACCGATAATTTTGGAGGTCTCGTGGTATTACTACTGATTATTTTTCCAACCCAAATATCGGGCAATATAATTGGCCCATTCGACATCACGTGGTACAAGCTACAGGGTTTTCAAATGATAATGTTTTGATAATTTTCTCTGGTAGTTGCTATATAAAAAACAAAACATCATGCAGTAGAATTAACCCCTCGTCAAACTGACAGATTGAATTCAATTGTGGTAATCCGAGGATTGTGAGTTTCGTCTCATGGTCCAATTATATTGCCCGACATTTGGATTGGAAAAATAATCCCCTGAATACCACACGAGCTTTAAAATTAATCGGGCATTTTCCTCAAGGTTCCCTCCATACAAACGAACCTATCGGAAAATACCCGATAATTTTGAAGCTCTTGTGGTATTACAAGTGATAATTTTTTGATAATTTTCTCTGGTAGTTTTTATATAAAAAAACAAAGATCATTCAACTGAGTGACCCGTTCGCCGAAACTGACAGATTTATTTCGTCTCATGGTACAATTCTCTTGGCCGAAAGTTGGATGGAAAAATTCTCTCCTGAATACCAATCGAGCTTCAAAATTAATCAGGAATTTCCCTCAAAGTCCGCCGCACACAAACGACGTCTTCAAGTTGAGTGCTTCGCACTCGTGATTAATTAGCTTGAAAAACTTGACTCCGTTTGTTTGTAGCGAACCTATCGGGAAATACCCGATAATTTTGAAGCTCTCGTGGTATTACATATGAATATTGCTCTTCGTGTAGTTGGTAAACTAAGTGGCAACTGACAATGGCATCACAATACCTCGCGTGGCGTTACGGTAGCGTATCTCGAACGTCGAATTGCAGTCCTGTAGAAATGAGGATGTGAACACTGCAAGAACTACGGTCTTATTCTAAGACTGATGCGTCCGAATCGCAAGACTGGAGTGTCGGGATTTTTAAGTACTAAAATTGATCTTAAAATCTAAGACCGTTCATCGATCTAATTGCTATTATTTTCAATTATTCAATGCTGATTGTCGCTGTGGCGGGGGAGGGGGAGGGTTCAATCCTAACTCCTTCTGACCTTCATTTTCGGACTCTTAAACATTGACCCTTACAATCTGACCCTTAGATTTTGCCGCTTGTGACCCTTAAATTCTGATCTTTAGATTTTGACCTCAGAATTTTAACCTTTATATTTTCACTTGTCGATTTTGACCTATTGATTTTGACCATTATATTGAGACTCCTATATTTTGACCATTATGAATCTTAGATTTTGAACCTCGTGACCCTTAAATTCTCCACTTTCAATTTGGACCCTTTTATTCAGACCCTCGTATTTTGACCCTTATATTCAGACCCTTATGTTTTGACGTTTGTATTTTGACCCATCTGACCTTCAGATTTTCATCCTTGAGACCCTTAAATTCTGAATCTTAGATTATGACGTAGATTTTGACTCTTGTGACCCTTAAATTCGAAGCCTTAGATTTTGACCCTTATATTCAGATCCTTGTTTTTTGACCCTTATGGCCCCTAGATTTTGACCCTTGCGATCCTTAAATTCGGAACTCTAGATTTTGACGCCTATATTCAGGCCCTTGTACTTCGACCTTCATGAACCTTAGAATTTAACCCTTGCGACCCTTAGAATAGAAGAATAGATTATGCGCGGCTGGTCACTTAAAGCGCCCAGAGTCACCTAAACCATACGATCTTTTGTAACATCCGTCTTAGTTTCGGTCAGTCACACAGCCCCAGCCCTGTATTTCGCACTAGGCTAATAAGCCTGGTGACAGCCGCTTATTGCAAGTCCTCTGGTTCCAGGATAGCCTGGCCCCAGATTTTATAGCGACGGAGTGCTAATAGGGCGCATTCACATAAAATGTGGATGACGCCTTGCTTATCGCCTCCGCACAGTCTGTAGTCTTCTTCTTCTGCAAGTTTCATCTTGAACAGATGAGCTCTGAGAGCTGTATGACCCGTGAAGAGCCCTACTGCTATTCTCAGATCCCCTCTGTGCAGCTCCAAAAGCTTTCTGGTTCTAACTCTTAGTTGCCCCCTCGTAAGCAGTTTCGCTTGTCTGCAGGTCGCAACTTTCTCCCAACGCCTGACATGATCTCGCTGGAAATAATCTTTAATAAGAGTTTTTGCCACTGCGAAGGGCATGCCAAACAGGCCGTATGAGGGCACCCTTCCTGTACCCTTCTTGGCCAGCTTATATGCCTCTTCATTACCCAGAATCCCATGGTGAACTGGTACCCAGATTACCGTGACCTGGTTGTTTTTACCCAGTGTGTCCAATGCCTGCATGCATTCCCACACCACCTGTGACTCTATAGTGGGTTTTTCCAGGGCGTGAATCGCCGTCTGGCTGTCACTGCAGATGAATATTTTCATCTTTTTTAAATCTCTCGCGTTCAGATATTCTGCACACTTAGGTATGCCCAGCATTTCTGCTTGAAAGACGGTTGAATGGTGGCCCAGTGGAAAACTCTCTCCGAAGCCATCTTTCAGACGGTACATGCCTGCCCCAAAACTTTCATTGAAGCCAGAGCCGTCCGTAAACTAGTAGTCCTCTCTTGGTCCTGGTTTAAGTTCCGAGTCTAACCACTCCTGTCTGGGTGGTATACTCGTTCTGAAAGTTTTCCTGATCTGATACTTCCTAGGAATCCTATCCGTCTTACCTATGAAGGGTCGATCATTGATTAGACTAAGCCTTGTATGGCCTTGGCCCGTCATCTTCCATTCGAGGTCGAGGGGTGGGATACCGAGTGCTATTTCTAGCGCCTCAGTAGGTGTGGATTTCATGGCTCCTGTTGCAGCCCTCAGGAAGGTTCCGTGTAGGCTTTTCAACAGGTTCCTTATTTCCGTCTTACTCACCCTCGGCCACCAGATGACCGCACCGTATAACAGTCTCGGAAGTAGAACCATTTGATAGAGCCAGAGCATCATTNGGATTTCATGGCTCCTGTTGCAGCCCTCAGGAAGGTTCCGTGTAGGCTTTTCAACAGGTTCCTTATTTCCGTCTTACT